TGAGTGATCGATCTATGTCGAGATGCGAAGTGGAGTTTCTTGCGGATTTCTTGCAAGAAAATTGAGGTATTTAATGTTCTCAAAGTATGCGCCATCGATTTCTTACAGAGAACAACCAGTTGCATAGATGGAAACTCATTGATATATTTAAATGCATTAGATACACCAAGATGAAAGAAAATTGCGTTTCAGACATTTAACGAATAGGTGTTCGTTAGTTGACAAGTTTTGGGAGTACCTGAGTTTGTTGACAACTTTGGACAAGTAGTGACGTTTTGCTGTGTTCGAGTATGTGTATTGGGGCGTGGGCTTACAAGAAGGTCGTTACAAGGGTTGTTTTAATTAACGCGTTCCAATTCAAGTGACTATTGTCGATGGAAAAGTGGAGAGTGTCGTGAACACAATTGTAACGAGAATAGTATAGTACAAACAGAGAGACTCTTTTGTTACTCTTTCGTACAAATGAAATCCTCTTAGTCTCTGAGAACTTTCAAATTCAACTGAAGTGTGTATGTATGTACATGGTTTCCCAAGGCCAAACAAGCAATTATCAGTAAACGTCGGACAATCCAAAGAAACAGAATTTGTACGTTTAATCTCTGGGATAACGGAACGAGCAAATAGTGAATAAATATAGTTTGTTATTTGGTCAGCGTTGAGAAAGCTCACAGAAATTAAATTCACTCCCCTTTGTTCTCCATTTCTCATTCGTCTGTCTGGCTAGATGTATCATTCCCCTTATTCATCAAATCCACCACGTATCTCGCTGCATTGGTGACACGAGCAGCCTGATAGATTTCGTGCAAAGAAGAACAGTTCTCTGGCTCAGGCCGCGCTTGAGATCGCCTGCACGCGATAAAAACGTAAAAACCGTTGTCCTTGCTTTTAAAGTCTCGGATACCATCCGCTTCATTTCCCAGGATGCGCTTCCATGGGCGAGGAACACGTATACTGTCCCAGATTTATAGAGAACTCTATTATTATAGCCACACGACACGAAAATTACTTCGAGATCTTTCTATTTTATGCATCGAGAACATCTCCTCCGTGCCGTATTGGTTCGCGGTTAAACTTTCTTACTTATTAGACACGACGAACGAAGCAATGAAAAATATCGGCAATCGCATTTAGATTTGTAGAAAATTTTGATGACGAGTGCCGCGGTAGAAGAACGCTCCGTATCAATTCTGAGGAAGTAGAATAAGTCAGCGAACGCATCCTGTGTCATACAAGTAATATGATCGAGGCTTTCCCTATAATTAGCAACGCAATACCGAAATAGGAAAAGTACCAAAACGAACGCACAACGAATCCCAAATTATTATCTACTGTCTATTATTAAACCAAAGTAATTTAACGTTAATTTTCCTCAACCCCGACCACGCCGATATTTCAGAAGACAATATCCCCACAAATAGATGTAACCGGAACTCGTTAACCGAAGGATGCCACCGCCGAAAAATAGCTTTTGTCCATTAATTTCGGCGGAAAAAGAGACAGTTAATCGCCAGGGGCGTGAGAGAGGGCCCAATTACGCTTCGTGTCACGGTTCCACGGCGTGAACATTGATTCCGTGCACGACATGCCTGGGCATGATTATAATCCGTTGGCTTCCGGCCAAAATCACGTACAAAGTGCATCCTCGTTCTTCCCTACCCTCTGCCATAGGTATCTATACGGTTACGAAGCGTTTCGCCTCGCCAAGGAGAGATAATTAAACTAACAATGTCGCGTACCCCCTCCCCCCTTCTATTTCCCGCCACGACTCTTTGTCTTCGTTTCATTTTTGCCCTGAATCTCATTTAACGACGACGACCCGATCCGGGCTCGTCGAGGATCTCCTCTCGAGAATAAGCAAATTAACCCCTCTTCGGTGGTTATTTGTCCGACCCTGTCGATGGCGATGAAAATTCCAGCACACGATTACGAAATCTTGCTCGATTTATAGGGTTGATAGCATATTTTATGAATTCGACGTGTTAAACACTCTCTCCAACCCATAACTGTAACGTTTTCGATGCAACAATCGTCAAAACGCCTGCAGGCGTTCACGTAACGACTGTACCGACCGGTCAATCGCTTATAAACGCCCGCAGCACCGGAATAGTTCAAAGGATATATCTCTGAAAGAAAGCACTCACGAAAGTAGGCTCGTATGAAATTTGTTGTCGATACAGCGAGTGGAATGTATCGGTGAAATGTGACGAGGAATTCGTAAAAGCCTTGTACAATAAAGAATATAAATGAATTCTTATAACTTTCTGGAATAAAAACGATTAAAACACATAGTGGAGTGAAAGAACGTGTTATTTGAGATGAGGACAAATACATTCTTTTAGAAACTGAGTGCCTTTTACCCGTTTTAACGTCTTAGTTAATTTGACATCCTGAACGATGAAGTACGATTTTGTATCGTTGAAAACTGTAATTGCAATTAAGTACTAGGTGGTCTTAAGTGATCAATCACGCGTGCAGGACCTCTATGGAACTCGTGGAGCCTCGCTCAGTGAGCATTTCCGTGATGTTTATTTCACGTGAAGCAAACTATTCTTCGCACACGGTGCCATCTATGAAACGGAGCTTTACCAGACCTTTTATCAGCGACTCGGATAAGCTTCTTATCGCAGGTCGGCTTTTTCCACCCCTTCGTGGTATCCGTCGGTACAGAGACTTTGTTGCTTAGGGGTTGTTTCCAGCTAATGTTCCAACCCTCGGTTAGGTGGCAGCACGAGCGCGTTTCATCGATAAAGAGGGTTGCTCGTGGAACTTCAAACGCTTGAATTCGTTTCATTTTTTTTAACCACGATCGATCGCTGACGTACGCAGCTTGCGATTTCGATTTTTAATAGATAACACAAACGAAGCAGAAGCTTTGAATAAAGAGTTAGGAGGTTCGACAAATTCATGTTGCGATGAAGTGAGATCTAGCAAAATCGACTCCTATCAGGAACGAGTGCGCAGGCTTTCAGTTATTCAGTTGAATACCAGCAGCTTCCTCCGGTTGAATAATGGTACTCGAATAAAATTAAAATAACTCTAAAGAGAAAATTATACACAATTCGGGTCGAGAGGAGAAAAATTAACTTTCTGACGTATATACACTGCGAAAGTCTTCTCCCTCTAATTTTCATCGAATGGCTATCGAAAATCCACCTCCAAGATAAATCATATAACAGCACCAAGGATAATAACGGAATCGCAAGATCCTCTCAACAGATTCGTCTCAGATTCTCTACGACTCCTGATGACTTACTAAATTTCTCACATTTCGGATGCATGATTTCATAGAGAAGTTCAGTTCTTCCATTGCAAAATGGCTACTTACTCCCACGAATTCTCGTGTACCAACGATTAGAACAACACCAAAATCAAGATACCATCGCAGATCCTCCACCATTCCTTCTAAAAGTCCACCAAACTTCCATCTCGATTCCCTTCCTACCCACGGAGTCGTACAAACCCCCCTATCTCAACCCCCGAAAAGTGCTCAGGCCTGTTCCACAAAAGTGTTGTTTGGTTCTCGTCGGTGGCTTTCTAGCAACGCCGCCAGGTCTGCGGGGCATCGAAACGCGAGAGTAAAGAAAGGATAGACAAGAAAAACCAAATGGCGGTTCGCTGGGGGTGGCGTAGGGGGTGGACAGTCACGCGTGCGAAGCCGGAAAATTGAAATTCCCCGAGGGCGGTGTTTTAACAAGGTGACAGCGCAACGGGGAGTCCAAACACGAGGAAAACATCGTGAGCAACCCAAAGTAGGTGCACGCAGCCTGGGGGTTGGGTGAGGGGCACACAGAGACGAACACGTACTCGGGATCTCGGAACACCGATCGGACGGATCATCAACGATACAAGCAGCGAAAACAACGACACAGCGGCGCCCAACAACGGAAACTTTCCCGCTTTCTTCCAACGATATTCCCCGCGCGTCGCGCGCTGGTTGACGGACGCTCGTGCGGAACGAATCTTGGATGCCGCCAACACGTGATTCCGTTGCCATTCCACCTGCCTCGAACGTGTTTGTTAGAAATGGGAACGTGATGCAATCCTGGGAGGAACGGCTTGTATATTTCGCGAGACGTCATCGCGGTTAAAGTTCGAATCTAGGCGCTGAAGAGTAGCAGTTCGAAATTGGCTCGACGCGAATTTGAATTTTCAATGGCTCTTTCAGGCGCCCGGTTTTCGAAAGAATGGAACTCAAGCAGCTCGGAAGAAGTTTGTTTTCATTCACAGTAGGTGTAGAATGGAGTTACCATTTAACGTTCGTTTCGAATGTAAAACTTTCGATAAAATATTAAAGCTAAGCAAACGGTGGGGCAACTTCTAACCCAGGTAACCGCGAAGAGTTAAAAATTCTATACACTCGCGAAAATAGAACATGGAACACACTCCGCAAGAGTAAGAAGTCGGATCGAACTAGGTTCGCCGTTCTCATCGTCATTCTCGGCGTCGTTTCGTTTCGGTTAAGAAAAAGAATCAAAACTAAGTACAACTATCGCGGACTTCGGAAGCCTCGCGTGACCTACATCCCAGTACCGCGAACTTTGCAGCGTGGTATCCGAATTGTTCATAATTCATGAAGAACAGAAGGTGGGAACCGAAACTCGCTGGCAGCATCCAGATTCTTATCGCGCGCTATGAAAGCATGATATTTACACACGCATCAGCGGTGGGTGAATTGTGACCCGTGATTACCATTGAAAATAATCGAACACGATCGAGTCTGATAACGTAGCTTACGAGTAGCGATTAACCCACAATATTACACGGTTTCGTGTAAATCCTTAAAAAAGAAATTTCCACTTGCTCGTTTATATTAGGTTATTTAAAAGTAATCGCAGAGTAATCACAGGCCAACTCTGACACACATAAAGAAGGTGGTGCGGTTTCAGAACAATCCAAGGAGGTGGTGTGAACGCAACGGGTGTGTGCGTGGTGAGCGGGTAAGGGTTGTGAGGGGGTGGGTGCAAGGCAAACCCTTTGTTTGGTCGGTAGCCGAGGCTTACCTGTCGGAATTGTCGAATGCCGCCATTGATCCGCAACGAGTCCGCTGCGATGCCAGCGATTCCGTCGCCCGGTTCTCGCAGTTGCCGCAGGGAGGCGGCACTCGGGGTTGTGGTAGCGTGTAGGGGGCAACAACATCCGGAGCAACAACACGCTGACGCTTCCGGTTGCGAGCTTTGTCGTATTATGCGTGCGCTGGGCGATGTTGTAACGAGAACTGGCGGCGGCGGGGCCTGGCACGGGCAACAATGGTGCCCGCTTTTCACGCTTTCTCTGAAACAGAATTGGCGACTATGTTATTGACGGTATTGGACCAGCGAATCCGTCAATCGGATTGGCCAAGTGTTAGAGCCATGTGTTGTTAAGGCTCTTGTCGCCTGGAGGGTCTTCTTGCAATTCTATATGCTTTGCATTGTGTAGGTCCCTCTATTGTATGAAATCGAAGGTCACTTTGCAATTGGCATTGATTGTAAGTACACCTTTCTCGCGACACCTTCGAGCCGACTTATTACAAGGGAAAGCACTCAACCTGTGACCCTTCGATTTTAACCTTCTTTTGGAAGATGGTAAGAATCAAAGTGTCAGGGTCTAAGTGAGAGACTCAGAAAAGAATGTTACGATAGAGCAGGCTCAGCGTGATAGCGCATCACGAGAATGAGACATACATAGATGAAAAGCGGAGTGATTGATCGCATATGCCGGGTTAATTACTTCCAATCGTGATACTTGGATCTGACTGAAATGATTGATTAACTGGAGGAAGCTTGATTGCTCCTTGATATGTTGATCGATGTAGTGTTAACTAAACTCTGACTACCGGAAGCCTCGAAAACCCAAGCATTGAATCGAATGATCCGACAAACTGGAGGAAACTTGATTACATCCTGTCAGCTGACGAAGTCTCGAGTAGACGTTGAACATTATTAGTTTTAGAGACGTTAACTTGCAAACATATCGAACTGATTGGCTGATAGGTACTCGCGAGTGGAAGATAGAAAGAGATTCGAGAGCCTCGAGTCACCGCAGGGGAGGAGATTGCATTTTTCGCTCGACCAGCGTTTCAATTAAAATTCGATCGAGCCGTAGCGGTTTCTTTTTAGTAGCTTAAGGCGTCCTCGGCTCAGATGACGGATTTGATTATTACGAAGGGCACGCTATCCTGGTGACGTTATAATATACGTTATCGCGAGGAAATCGATCGTGGGGCACAAATCGACGCCGCTAATGACGTTTCGCCTAATGAACAAGCGACGCCATTGTCAATTTTGGCGTTGGGAGTTAATTATCTTATACAACAGGTAAACACATTGACTGTCAATAGTCCCGACGTCCACAATGCGTCTTGTACACGCAGACCTGGGCAATGTCTAACGGCGCATAGGGTCCTGTATCGATGCGAGCCATCGCGATATATATCGACATAATAACCGCCTATAACGAGAAGAATTTGAGTATGCAAATCGTCGTAGGACGAACGGCATCAGGAAGACACGTTCGCATTGTTTGGATCATTGTTCACCGGTAAAATGAGTTGAAATTTAATGAACGCTTAATGGTAACGAGGCGATCGTATTTATGTACAGTGTGTGAATTGTGTATATTGGCGGTACGCGATGTGTTTAAAGCCTGAATTGATAGAATAGAAACGATATTTTTTGCTCTTCCGAGAAACACTACGTGTGTTGTTTCTGAAATAACCAATTCAATTAGTGCACGTGTGTACTCCCAGAATTCTAAACATGATTGGTACCACGCGTCACATATGTATCTGTAACGGGTCAACTCTCACGGGAGACCAACGTTACTCGTCATCCATTTGCTGCTGTTTGGGGTTAGGTAGAAACGTTATTTTATACAAATCATCGATTATAATTCTGTACAGCAACAAATTAAGAACGCTCCACAAGTGTCGCATAATTTTTTACAACGATTCCTAGCTATTAATACAGCGATCGAAGAGACAATTTAAGCAACGCTACGCGACGTGTCGATTAAATTGGCCGCATCGCCGGCGAAACGCTTGGCTCGCGACTGTATTGGCCCAAAGGAGACCACACGCAAACCTACGAGCACAAAGGGAACTGAAGAAAAGCCGATGGAATATAAAAGTCGAGGAGCTTGATACGAGGGAGCGCCAAGCTGAATCTCGACGGAAGCGACTAATTCGATTTCCCCTGGCTGAATGCGTTCAGGTATTGTGTCAGCGGGGCTCTTTGTCCAGCGTCTTCCGTAAGTTGAGTGCTCTCGGTTCGGGACATCGCTGATGGAAAGAGACTGTCATCCCGAGATATCGTTAGCAATGGACTCGAGTATCCCGCGGTTCCGTTCTCGAGTGCTAATAACGCAATCGAAGTGGTCGCGTTACGCTTTGAGTCATTGTGGCATCCGGGGAGAGGACAATTAATTTTATTTCACGGTGGTATCATTTGTCTTGCGTAATGGTGTTTCGAACAGGCTGATCATGATTTATTACTCGAAATGGACCAACGTTCCACGGCGTCCGTGAGGTGTGACTCTTCATAGAGCTGTCTTCTTTGGAAAGCTTAATTAACATAGAAACTACATTCGACCAAAGTATTGGAACATTCGGAACCCTTTAACTTCTAAGTGAAGATAAAGTTACGAAGACAATTTTTCATCGAAATTCCATTACACAAGAAAAGTTAGAAAACGTCTCCAGACGCAACCGAGTCGTAAGAGAGTTTCCCTCGACTTAGAGTCGTCTGAGCTAAGATTTGTCGTTGTAAATGACTTCAAAAATGTTTCCAACGGATCGAAAGAAAACGAATGGAACCGTATTTGCGATGAAGAGCGATTCAGTGAAAGTATCGTTCACGTATTCGTTTTCTCCCCCCGATGCGATTCAAGCGTTTTCTCCGCCATCCCAGGATAAGAAGAACGATTGACCAGTAAATGACTTTCCGAGGATGGAGAGGAATATAACGCGTGCAAACGAATGGGAGCTATTCGAGAGATACAGTGCCAGAAATAGAGTCTCGTTCGACGAGTTCAATAGGGTGGCTTCCGTAGGATTTACAGGGTGTCCTATCGGAAGCTGGCTACCTCAAGGCGTATAAGTACCCTTGTCTTTGGAAGAACACACCAACGTTTCGGAATTTTTAATCCGAATACTGTATAATTTGTATAGTTCAAATTTGAGTATAGGAATATAGAAAATACTATCGAATACGATTAATAAAAAAAACTAGGGAAATCTTATAGAGACTATAATAATGTCAGAATATGTATAGTAATAATATGTCAGAATAATATGTCAGAAAGGTGGGAAAATATTGTAAATGAGATTGAAAAATTTGATTAAGTTTTACGACAACTTAATACATCAAATTCATTAAATCGATAGATTTTACACGTGCTCGCACGACTCAATTTCGACGTTTATTAAAAATAGCAAAAAGCGTTGCTCGCGATAGTGTAGCAACCAGGAAGACGTAGCACGGATGTAATATTTTACCATATGTACACACGCTATTCGTTTCCTACGGGACGCGCTGCAGAACACTAATTAAGAGCCACAAATTTCCCGCGGCATCGAGAGCACGGCTCGTAAAGTACCCCCGATCTAACACGCAATTCCCTGAAATATAGTTCTCTTCTATGCTAGAGAATCCGCGCTTGGCATTTTGCTTTACGACGCGTAGCGAAACAGACGTTATCTCGAATTTGAAAATAGGAAACGCCGGCCCATTCCAGCAACAGAAGTTTCCTACGTCCCGCTGCATCCTCGAAACCAGGTCGGGGGTTTAACACTCCGCGCTCGGTAACCTTCCGAGGCGAAGCCCTTTTTGGGAACACCGACGCCAACTCAAGTTATTAAAGAGAAAAGGGACGAACTGTCGCCCAACTGAATTCCTCCATAGAATTTATGTTTCGTTGTCGCTGGACGATATTGACCCGACTACGTCGCGACACCGAATAAACGTTCTCAGAGGAGAAGTTGTTTGTTGCGATCCTCATTTAGCGCAGGGGATTGAGCATCTTGAACTTTCTTGTATCATTCGTCATCGGAGTGCCACGGCGGGTGAACGATGCGAGAATGTTCGGATACCCGTGTTTCGGGTCGAAAGAACACGGATAAATTAGTTTTGAAAAATGGACGATGAAGGAACGAGTGTAATTTTTATGGTTACGAAAGCAAATATTTGGTACCTAATTTCGGTGACATTTTGATTTGTGTTTCTTTCGATTAGGTATTTTTATTTTCGTGTTTTACGTATCTCCATTCGAAAAGGATCGAAATTAGTCGAAACGTCGTTCAGTAATAAGTTTTCTGAGAGTGTACATCCTGTCGCAAATTACTTTACGCGAATATACCAACATGAAATAACGCGTTCCTAGATCTCATACGTGTTGAGAATGTTGTCACTCTTGAAAAGAAGTACAAGCCACCGCTTAGTGGCTCGGTAACCTACGCCACTTTAAACGCTGGAAGCTATGGCGCGCCAAGGGGTTTTCGTGTTACAATCTGTTTCGAACCATTCTTCGATATGCTCTGAAATAGCAACGGAACTCCTTAACTCCGCCAGTTACATAAATTGGAACTTTCCGTAAACGCCCCGGCGACCGTACTCGCGTCTCACATTGTGTCGAGTTGGAGATTCACCGTGGCAACCGCTGCAGCGGCCAACTATGCAAGATAACAGATGGATGCTCGAATGTTTCGTGGAAAGTGCTACTAACTCACCGAATAAGCGTCCAACAAATGCGAGTTTAATTGCGTGGAAGTGTTTCTCTAACCGAGTTCATGAGTCATCGGTTCGATGAATATAGCTCCGATAGGATCAACATTTTATTCGAATATTAACCCTCTCGGACCTGGCGTTCAGTGCGACTGTTCTTATTAATTGACAAAATTTTAATCCAAGTTAACCCCAAAAATTAAATTCAATTAGTGCGAGAAGAAGAAATAATCCAGGTCTGAAAGGGTTGACTACTGAAAGCGAGGAAAGGGTTAACTTCCAAGTACTGTGGAACCATTGCTCCCTTAGGATGCGTAGAATATTACAGAGTAAGATCAGAGAATAGATGGGACTTGGAAAATCTTATTTAGGTACCAAAGTAGCTGTAACTTTGTAAATAGTCGCAGTTTCATGTACTCTCGTGCACCTTGCTAAAATAATCCGCGTTTTAAAACTCCATCGCCTTCCGCTAGAGGGATACGTTTACCGCGAAACCAAAGGGAGCCTAACCTAAATGCAGTAAATATCCGCACCCACCAGGCAACACGGCAATGAGAAAAACCCATTATTGTCGTATATCGCCTAAGAGCTCGCTAGATCGCTGCGGGGAGCTCGAGAAAGGCTCGAAAAAGTCAGTACATTTTGCACTAACCTAGAAACGCTCCTCGCAAGATGCAACGCCGAGGATGGCGCCAACGAGTCCCTCCGATCGCAACGACATCTGTGCTGGTGGGAATGCTGCCTGGAGCGGTAGACGGTGGGCACGACCGGAAGTTGGACTTGCGGCTGCGGCTGTGGCTGCGGTTGTGCATCCCCGTCGAGTCTGCAGTGCAGTTCGATGTCCGGTACCGATCTCGTGGCCGGGTCTTCGTTGGTGCCGCTCTCCTCGGAGCCGCCGAGCCCCGAGACGGACAACTGTGGCGAGGCAACCAAAAAGGTTGCTCGATCCTGTCGCGTAAGCACCGGCTTGCCCTGAGACGCCGCGGCAACCACGACCGGCGGGGGTGGCGCCCTGCTCAACAGGGCGGCCGTTTCCTCGCTGGAACCGTAATCGGTACCGTTCCCACCCTCCTGAGATCCGACGTTCCCGTTCGTGTTCATCTCGCGGCCGTGTTCTCGTCCGTCGCGTCACGTGGCCATCTCCTGAAACACACAAGTTAGACATCTGTTAGCTCGTTTTGGAGGTTGATGTTCCAGCGATGGACCGAAGGATCGATGGGAGATCCTCTGATCAGAGGACGTGAAGGAGGACTTTACGTCCATTCCAGAGGACTGGAATCCAGGGTTCTAGGTGTATACATACCTTATTTCTTCGATAAAATTATATACAATTGAATCATTTATTTCTTAACACAGTGAGCGCCACGCGAATTTTTAAAGAAATTTTCTGATTTTACTTCAGTTCTGTCGTCTTACTCGTGATACGACAGCACATATATGTATATTTTAGAACTGTTTCTATCCTGTTGTAATCGTTATTACAGTTTATATATTACCAGGTTTATCATCTTATTTCCCCGCTGGAAAGATGTTCGCGCGTTTATTACTGACATGAAACTGTAACTCCGATCAGCTTATCGGTTTGATACGCGATGCTGTTTTACAACCTCGCATCAGCGTTTGAATGCAACGTCTTTAAAAGTGCAAGACTCGCAAGTACCCGTTAATAGCACGTCGGATTACATGGACACGAGAGCACGTAATTGCTTCCCTCGGTAGAGGAGCGTCCTCATCACTTTTAGGCGTACTTAAAAGCTGCGTTTAATCTTTATGGACTTTTCAAGTATTTACTAAATCTGTAACCAGTCTAACAGCCCAAATTTATCAGTCTCTATCTCTACATTCACTTGAAACCGAGTTTTAATCCATCAAAGTTCCCCAGAATTAACCCGTATACGTGTCAAACACCAACCACTCGCATACCTTGTCGGTCTTTGAACGGTCACTCATTCGGATTCCAGTGGAACGATTCGCTCGTCATTGGTACCAACATCGACGATTCAGAGGAATCCAAGGATCAATGTTATCGACTTTAAAGCCACGCGTGAATATCGATTCCCAGTCTCGTCGTGCAAAGCGTTCGGATATAGTAGTAGCGCATGGGGAACTTCAAGTATCGACTTTCAATCGGGCTGCTGTATCCCTAGCCGTTGCCACGGTGTCCGGCTCTTCGAGATTTCACGTTGGTTTCGTTTTCTTCCACGCTGTTTCGCACTGGTCGCGCTTTCGTCGCGCAGTCTTGTCACGCGCGGGCTGAAATATTTTCACAGGCTTGACCGTGGCTTAGCGACTCTCGGGGAGATTTCCCCGTTGCACGCGCTGGTCAACAGTTGAAGCTTGATCGATGACTCCAGAGAACGCTGGGCATCGCTGAATCGGGCGATGATACACGATTTTAAATTTTGAAGCAGAGAATTTATGAAATATTATTTTTAATCTATTAGCACACTAATAGTTGCGACGTTTACCCATCAAATGCTTGCTGAAATGATGGCACGGAATTTCACCCTCCTAAGACGGACTTCGTTGACTTAAGTGAGCCGATAACTCGACATCCAAGCAAACTTTTGTGTAAATTTTAATTGGATCACTCTGAGTGAATCCAGTTGTCCCGGATTTGTGGTCAGAGCAAACTCTCGACGGTAAGCAATACGTTATTCATTAGGACTTCGACTAGTTAGGAATCGTTGCTTTAACGAGTTTCGCATGGATAACGCGTTTAACGTGCATCGCGAGTCTTTCGTGTTCACCTGTTCAAGTACGCTGTTTAAACGTCGATACATTCATTAAATTTACCATCGATGTCAATTGTTAATCCCAAACTTGACGGAGAAACCGACAGCAGTAACTATACTGTTTTATTGAATTTGGTACGTACATAATTTGAGCTCGTGCTCCAACGCCATGTATAATAAATTCGGTAAATCCATACAGTATTGTTTAGTTATTCTATCAGATCTCGGATTAGCGGTTTTCATGAATATTTTGGTAAGCGTGCTGTTCCATAACCGAGTTTAAATTTTCCTGAATTAGATACAGATATGCTTCATCGCTGGACGATTAGAGTTATCATATTTGTCAACGTTTTCCTTGTTCGTAAAATTTTATAACCGCAAAACCTGGTGACTGTCACAGTATTCGACACGTTGAAGCAAATTTTGTATCAACGGCCGTTCGAGTTTCCATTAACATTCGTTACGGGTCTGAAACAAAGAAGGTAATAAACGAACGTGTTCCATTTTTCCCGAATTTTATTGCGTTCGGATTTGCGTGCGGTCAGCAATCTGCATCGAAGCAAATTGCAACGTTCTCGCGACCTGGCAGCTGTTTCAAAATGCAGTTTTTCCGTCAGCCAACGAAAAAGGGCTACCGACTCGTCTATTATTCCTCATTTACGTTTCTGGAATTGGAAACGAACGAGAAATCCATTTCCATCGTTTTCCAGGAATACCATCTACACACATCGACGACCGTGTCGGACCATTTGTATTTACTACTCCAACTGTATCTCTCGCGTAGATATTACTTGAGATTAGGTTTAAAACCGTAGAAGCTTCGTAACTAGCCTTCGCGAATATGCGCAATTACTCTGGAACGAATTCTACCAGTCAAAGTGATAAATAACAGCGGGCTGTAGAAAAAGTGCGATTGATAAAATTGCTCATTTCATTTTTGTCCCCTGAAGCTTGCTTGTACGCTTCCAGCTTCCTTACAATTCAACTTTTCAACTTTTCGAACGACCAAAGTTCTTGGGCAACTGCAGCAAGAGTTAAATTGAAAATGAATGAATTTAATTGCTATACAGGTACCTATGTAATCTCAGGTAGCTCTGGTGCCCGTGTTACCTTGTTCTTTCGAGATAATTCGTTCGGCGTTAATTATCTTCCTCGGCAATATTTCATCGGTGACGTAAACCGTAGAGAAATTATTTTTGCAAGGGATTCGGGGGATCTGGAACGCATTTATATTAATTTCCATCTGGCAGTTCACTTAATCTGTAAGCTGAGGTGTTAAAAGTTTCGCGTTCAAAGCGGGTCTGAAATTTGTTCCGATAAGAATAACACGGTGAAGTTTTAATTCGAGTAACGAAGATGTTCTCTCGCGAGTTATTAAAGAACGTAACGAATATTAACGACGTCGGACGCATTCGCAAAATTAATTATTTTTATCAGCAAATAATTACAAGGTGCGCAGTAAGTTGCAGCGGCTCCAAAGTAATTAAACGAGTCGTGAAAAAAATTGTTTAAATCTGTTAGAAATAACTTGACCTTTGCACTTTTGGCGCAGCGACTTTCATGAAAAACATTCTGCATCCGCTACGCCTGCAACGTGGGAAGAATATTATACGTTCGAAGTAACTCAGAGATTTATTGACGAAAAAAGAGAGAAAAGTTGAGAGTACAAGGCTTTAGGGCACGACCACATGCTGGCAAGTTTCAAAACACTCCCGGCTGTTGCATTCGCATTTCTCAGGTAGCGGAAGTTGCCTTAGTAAAATACGTGACAATATAAGACGAGTGTTAGCATAAATCGTTCTAGAATAACGAGTTTCTTCTCAAATATATTCATCGCCAAGTGTTGGAACTATTAATGAAGACAGCATCTTTTCAAAGTACACGTGGTTAACTCGGTTCCAGATCATGAGTCAATCTTGTACTTCTGTACTTCTTTTGTCCGTGTTTTAAAAACCTCGACGCATCTTCACGAGAGAATATTTCTCAAGTGTGCCACGTTAATTAGTCGAAGAAATTTTTGTCCGAGACCATTGTATCTTCTTCTCGGTTTTCTTATCACTATTATGCGACTCGTCGCGAATTGGAAGCAGTAGAATGCAGGAAGCCCCGTATTTGCGTAGACAATTTCCTCGCCTTTTATTGCACATGGCTTCCAAGCAAAGCCCCGGGTAACAGTCTCGCTTGAACGCTCTCTGTTCATAATATTGTCGTGACGATGTCGTGCGCATTAGTACCTGAATACATTTCACGAAAACACATTCCCTTCGCTCGACACCCGCGAACCAACTTCCTGTGTATTTTCGACAACGTTGATGCTTATCCGTGCGAAGCTTTTTGACAAACAGCAAACACGACTGCTAGGGAACGTGAACTCGAAAATTCAACAAATTTCGAAGTTTATAAAGTAGCTTTTGCACCGAAGGAAATTGCTGGAAATGAATGCTCTGGTGGAAACTTCTTCCTATCTACAATTGAGGTTCAATTATTAGCTAACACTTGAAAAAGAGAGATAATTTTTATTTAAACTACTTTGTGATATCTCGTAACGTTATGAATTGACTGTGTGTTATCAGTTACTCTAGTTGCACGCAGCAACTTTAGAATTTCTCGAACAGTCGAGCTCAGCCTCTCTGATTGTCCTTGACGACACGCTGCGACAAAGTCAAACACAACGTCATTAGTGCAAAAGTGAATAGGGAATGGATTTGACATTCTCCGAGGACTATCAGGCAAATTATGCGCGAGACCCAAATCCAAAGCTCGTTAAGCTTAAATTAATTTGCGTCGGGGATGTCTTCTCTGGGTTCGAGAATCTTGAATGAAGTCAAGGACAACTCACGTTACAGTGAGCTTCATTTTAGGTGACATAGACATCGACCTGGTGCCAGTAGATGCAGCCGACTTTGGCCAGACACAGAAAGTTTTTCAGTTATAGCGTTGCAATCCCAAAGCATCGAAAGTAGACGGTTTTCACGAAGAACACTCTCCAGTTGTGCAACTCTGCTGATAAATCCCGGTTCGCAACAAAGTAGAAACGAGTGGAAACCTTTCGCTACAGATTGGAAACGTGTAAAACCCTCTCTCAACAAATCCTCTTTTCATGGAAGGAAAATGTTCTACGTTTTCACTTCGACAAATGATGATTCCATGAAAACACAAAAGAATTTTACGTTGGTTCCAAAATTCAGGACCAAAGGAATACAAATGCGATGTACAAGATAATTTTGTTTCGAGTAATTAGAAGAGAAGTAAGATCGACGATTCGTTGGAATGGAATGGGATGCAAATTGTAGTTCCCGTCGGAATGGAAATTCAACTGGTCCCTGAGCTCATCCGCGCTGTAGACTCGTTAAAGTGTTCCATGTGACGAGAGCGGACGACGGCGGTAACAAATTAATCGCTGAAACA